TAAACTAGGCAATATTTAAACATTCATTTTATTACACACACATAACTGGATTAACGTCTACCTGATAAAAGTGAACAAACAGAAGAGAAAATCATTGGCCTGTTTCCCTCCTTAGCAAAAGTACTGCATCATCAATCCATTTATTAAATACTAGTAAAGTTTTATTTCCTTTTAATATGCATAAAAATAAATAAAATCAACAATTTTAAAAACAATTTCTCTTACTCATGGGAGTTTTGGATACATTCATTTGGGGTCTATAAATCAAATATACCTGAAACCGCTAGCTAGAACAACTCAATCAGTCTCTCAAATGCTTTCCAGATTAAAACTAGATTTGAAGCCAGGACCAATTTTCCATGGTCACCCCAGGTCAAATAAGACTCTTAGGTTCTTATGATCTGGGTCTTCATCCAAGAGGATCCAAAACCAACCTTCAGGGATGGATTGACAGGTATAATCTTACCAGGACACTCACCCTTTACTTTACAAAGATAATGAAGAATAGTTACAGCTTCCTGTCTCTACAACTTTCATTCACTCATTTAAGAAACATTTGTAAATGCCAGGCATCTCACTAATATAGTCATTTAAAAGCAAATCTTAAATGCTATAATGTACTTTCACTTACAGAAGTGCCTTAAAGAAAAAGTGTGGGTTGTGCCCCATAGGGTGGCCAACTTAGAAATTTCAAATAAGTTCCAGCAAGGCAAGTTAACCCTAACTAATCAACATAATACCTTTGAGAAATTAAATCCTACAACACAAGTGTTCTCATGGGAGAATTCTATAACTGAAAATCACAATAATGTTGTGGTAATGTTTCCTTATACCTGAAATAAGCTTAGTACAATTTATACAGCACCTCTCCTTTCCCAACCACCCCGCCAAAAAGACCACCACTTTTTTTTTTATTTATGTTAAAAGAGTTTCTTGGGTTAGTTTTCTATTCACAGGTCAAAATCACATCAACAGCTTTAAAAATTATATTACTGGTTTAAAAGAATGATTTCACAAATAGTTCTATAAGTTCTGTCCTCTACTTAAAACAAACATAATTGAACCATAACAAGGCATAGAAATTTAGAGTCAGGTGAGTTGTTAGATAATATGAGGCTATGAGTTTAGAAACCATCAAACACAGTTCTCCAACATTACAAAGAAGACACTTAAACTTCAGAATAAGGAAGTGATTTATTTCATTAGGATCACACAGCTAGTGTGACTTGACTCTTAATGCTTACATATCCAATGCTCAAGAGACTAGAGTGGGTAGGGTGTGGGTGTGTGTGTGTGTGTGTGTGTGTGTGTGTGTGTGTTAAACTAACCAAGCGGCTTAGCCTTTCCTTGCCTGGAAAAACAGAGAGATAATCTTTAAATTCCCTTTCAGCTCTAAAATCCTATAATTTAGAGACTTCATTGTTTTACTAGCTTACGAAACTACAGTGTACACTGAAAAAAATCATTCCTGGTTCCTAAAAACCCAAAGATGTACAGAACCCTAGGGGAAAAAAAACACAAGTCATGAGCCTAAAGCACTAAATACAAAGTCTGCGAAAAATGTATATACACTTCAGCATTTCCATGCCTGGAAGCTAATGGCCATCACTTTGAGCACCTCTTAACTGTTGTAGAGGCCAAAGCTAACTTGTATAATCGCATGATGTCTCAATAAATTTAGTATTAAAACAGTTATACAAGTTTTGTCATTTCCTGATTATATATATATATATATATTTTGGGCAAACTGTATATTGCTTCTTTTTCTAATATTCTGTGAAATATTAACACTGGTCATATTACTCTATTTGGATGACGCTGTTCTAAATTAATTCTGATCAATCTATTATATAGCTCCAAAATATACAATCTCTAATTATAAATTTAAGAATATTCTTATAAAAACAGATTGTTGTTTGACTTTATATAATGAGGTTTATATTAAAGATAATTAAAAATAAGAACAGCTTCTTCTCATTTGTGTTATTCATCCTAAAACGTATGCACAAATGCATCAGATTTTCTTTACATGGTTTCTCCAAGATGCTCTATTCTTTAATCTTTTATGCACATTATTCTGCCCATAAAGACTGAATCCACATACTCTCCAACTCATTTATATATTATAAACTAATAATTTTAAGAACATTAACAAGGTACTAACATTAATAATGTTAACAATCCAAGAAATAAAAATCACTGCAAGTTAAATAAAAAAACTCATGAACTGTAATGGATCATGAAAAGCTCCGATATTCATCTATATTCACTTTTTATAGAAAAGAGTTGTAGAAAGGCAAAAAGATTGTCCCTGGGTTCACATATATATAAGCATGGTGTGTATATATATATATATATATGATCATATATAATTAAATATTGCATACAATTATAGATGTAAACAAAAATTTCAGCTCTAATCTAAAGCTCTGCTTAATTCAAATAATATTTAATATAGCAAAATGACATAAAAAGTAAAGAATCTGGGCAGTTTATATGGTTCACAGTATTAAAAAGCACCCTATATATAAGCATGGTGTGTATATATATATATATATATGATCATATATAATTAAATATTGCATACAATTATAGATGTAAACAAAAATTTCAGCTCTAATCTAAAGCTCTGCTTAATTCAAATAATATTTAATATAGCAAAATGACATAAAAAGTAAAGAATCTGGGCAGTTTATATGGTTCACAGTATTAAAAAGCACCCTATGCTAGAAATAAAGTGTAATATACTAAAATTTCACCTCCAGTGCTTGAAAACATCATCATTTACATATATGGAAAGTACATATTATTGCAATATAAGAAGGTGTTTTACTCTAGCAAAGGTAACAGATCTTTTATGGATGTCCTTTTTCCACAAGTTTTTAAGATGCCAACATTCCTGAACCTTAAACACTCTTACTCATATCTCTTTATTATTTTAAAGTAATAGCTCAACTTTTTAGAAACAATGCACAACACAAAAATTACAAGCCTAAACAATTTCCTCAATGATTCTAACTTACAAAGAAAAATGTTGCTTTCTAAATTTTGCCTACCAATAACTACCCAGATGGGAGTCACATAGTAGGCACTACAACAAAATCAAATTTTAATTTTCCACAGTAAAGGAATTTTTCAAAACATTATTTATAACTGGCCCAAAAAAGATAATGCACTCACACAAAAGCACAGAAATTCCCTTTCTGTAATCAATGTAAAGGAACCATGTAAGAATAGGATCCAAATAGATTACATGATTGAGAAGTCTGAGAGTCACTCTAGTCACTCAAGCCACAAAGCTGACATTACAAATCAAGTAAACTGCATTTTCTAACTAAATCTTATGCTTCCCCTTCCAATCCCAGATATTCCAAATTAATTCTGTGAAACAGTCAAGTGTTGAAATACTTAAAATGAATTATAACATGCATCCAGCCACTGTTACTTCTGCCCAAATCAAGCATTCAACACTATGTAACAAGAGTAAGATGTGCTCTGGCATGCTCCTATCTTATGCCTCTATGAAGAACTGGCAGTGGTGCTGAAAATTACTACTAGAAAGATGAAAGACCAACACCCGTCTTTCAATAAAATCCATCATCTGGACTCTAGCCAAGCTTTTAAAATAGACCCAATGTTATTAGAAATAATAAATCATCAACTCTACAAGCTGAAATGTTCCTTTTCTTAGAAACTGTGGCCACAAAACACAAGAAAACATTAACAATTATAGGCCATTCACTTCTGACAATAATCAGATTTTGTATTGTAACAAGTAAATTTATTTAACAATCTTCAAGATTCTACTTAACCTACCTATATTCTTTTCCCAAGCTTCTTCAATTATTATAATGGTTATATGAATAAATAAATTCACTGCTATTGCCTAAACATTCTACCACTAAACTTATGTAAAAATTAAATAAGACAACTAAAATAGTTTAGTTAATAAAATCTAGCTAGTATTTGTGTGTCCACATTGATTTTATATTCTTTGTTCCTGGGTGTGAATTCCCCAAGGTTAGGTCTTTATTTGGGAGTTGAATTGTTAGCTACCTATTGCAATGCTTAAAGCCCTTCAAGTATCTTACCTTCCAGTCTCATTATCTCTACTTTTCCCTGTATTGAGGTAAGATTACTTATCACTGTAAAATATCCTCCAGGAGCTGCTACCACAAAAACTGCGAAGGAGGGGGACCATGATCTCTGTAAAGCACAGGTAAGGTACAGTGTTTACAGTATAGTAATTGCACCTCTAGCTAACAAAATCTTGGCAGAAACCCTGAAATTTTAAATAATTCTCTCCCCTCCTGCTTTCATCCATTCTAAAACAACAGTGGATCCAAAACCAAAGATGTGTTTTTACTCTGTGTACTTCAAGCAATCACTAAAAAGACATGTCACTGTCTTATCAAAACAGGATCGCTGATTACAATACGTTTGTAAACTATAACCATTAAATGTGTGATGTACATTTCGATCAAGTTTCAATCCTGTTTAAAAAAGCCTTTGTCAAGAGTGAGCTAGTGGGAAAAGCCGAAGGGCTCTGTGGAATGAAGGAAATCACTGGACGGGCTTATCTTGGAAGACCGAATCCGTGTTCAGAGGTGAGCAAAAAGAAACAAGACCTAACCTTGGCAAGGGGGCGCTCACCCAGGGTGGGTAGGCGAGGTCGGGGTGAGTGGGGAGGAGGGGATTAGAGCGGAACCGTGGCGGCCCGGGACTGATCCCGCACCGCGACTCCCCCACCTGCAGCTAGCTTCCCACCACCATGCCCGGGCCTCGGCCGGGCTGTGCCCTTCCTCCCGCTGCGGGGGAGGGGAAGGACAGCGGGGCCGCTATGGGGGCCGGCCGCCGCGGAGGGGATGCCGCAGTGATTCCCCGCGGCAGTGGGTCAAAGTCCGCGGGGAGACAGCAGGAACCAAAGGCAGCGGTGTAAGTCAAGACAGGCGACAAGGTGGCCTCTCCGAGTCCTCCCACACCCTGGCCGCCGCCGGTACCTCATACTGGATGTATTGCTTCCTCCACTCGGGAGTGATGTGCGCTGAGAGGTGCTCGGCGAACTTCATCCTGTCGTCTTCCCTTCACTCCCACCCGGGTCCAGCAGCTACAGGCGGCGGCGGCGGCAACAGCTACTCCGACTCCTCCCCACATGGGCCCCGGCGCGGCGCTTCTCTCCTCCTCCGCCGCCGCCGAGGTCTCCTCAGAGCCGCCCTCCCGCCATCTTCCTCCTCCTCTCCATGGCCCCGCCCACTCCTGCTCACCCCGCCTTCTAGACGTCATCGCCATGGTAACCGCCTACGCTTACAGGGGAGGGGCGGAGTGGAGGGAGGGGCTTTAGTTGCATTCCTTCGTTCTCCGCCCCTTCTGGGCCGGACTACTGAAGGCACCTCCCCTGACCTCTTCCGTCTGGCTCCAGTTGGCTTGCAGCTGCTCTACCGCCTGCCTGCAAAGCAGCAGTGTTGTTATTGTAATTAATATTAATACTGGAGCAACAATAATCCACACAAGACGTTTGTATTTGCAAAGAACTGTGCAAATGTGTTTTTCATTTTAATATTTATTCTTCATGAAACCCTTATGGATGGATTAACATTAATCCAAAATGAGCAGTTAAAACAGATAGTTTAGGACCAAATGTATTTAAAGGAATGATATTTTGCATATTCCAGGTGCTCAATAAATGCTTATTGAATTTAATTAAAGATGTCAGAGCCAAAAAGTGCATGCTACTTTTGAATGTCAATGTAATTGTCTAGACTCAGGACTAACAAACAAAAGCAGTAGCAACACCTGGATTCAAACCAATATTGAAGGTACCAAGTGAACTTACGACTGAGCTTCCCGGGATTTGGGATTGAGGGTTGAGAGAGAAAACAGTACCAGAAGGAGAGAATCCCTTGGAGGTATAGAACCAAGCCCACTTCCAGTGAGTCCAGAAATAGGCCCAGCATCCCTGCTGAACTATCCCTGGAAAACTTGGAGAAGAGATCACTCATACAAGTCAGCACTGCAATGAATGTGGGGGTGGTTGTCCTGGAGGACCTTACTTGAGGCAGAAACCTAAGTCCCACCCTAGGTGGAGGAGTCCTGGATAATATAATAGCTAACATTTATTCAGTTCTGTCTCCCCACTCCCTATCCCAAGCAATGTTCTAAACCACTTACTTGTACTTTGTACTTGTGCTTTGTCCTTTAATTCTCAAAATTTTGGTGAAACTCAGAAATTTACTAAATGAGTATTGTGATTTACTAAATGAATAGAAGAGATATTCATCTCTAATTTTAACACCCCCCCCCGTATGTTTCTCCTTTCCCTTCACCTTAATTCAAGTTAATACAGATTCTGAAGTCCTTTCCTCAGGAGAAACATGAGCCATGATGAAAAAATGCGTGCTCTATGAGTGTTTCTGGCTTTTGCTGTACGAAGGCCTCAACTTCAGTTGAAAGAGAAAACCTCTTACCTCAGCACAGTATCCTTCTGCCCACCATAAAAATCTCTCTCTACTGGAAGTAAACATTGCCAGGAAAAAGACACAGGCAAAGAAGTCTATGCTATCAGGAAGAGTGCACACCACAGAGAAGAAAATGACTGCATGTTGTGTCTAGGAAGACAGTACCAGGGCCAGCCAAAGAGTGATTCCTGGGCCTTTACTTAGACATGAGCTAGAATGGTGGACGTAGGTAGCAACTCTCATAGACCATGGCACACGGCTCCCAGATGCAGAATACCTCTGAGCCTTAATTGTGTACAAGAATCTAGAATCTGGGCCCAATCCAGGGCAAATGAAATTCCTTGATACTAGCTCTAAAACCAATAATTATTTATTTTTCTCACACCTGATCTAGAGCTCTGCCTTCCAGATAGACATGAAAATCTTACTTTATCCACGCAAGTAGATTTTAAAAGAATTCTGCATATCCCTAGCATCGCTTGAAGTATTTCACTGACAAAGACCACCAAATACTTGAACACCTACTCTCTGCAGAGCAGCATGTCTGGTACTATGAGGGGTTACCTGAACAGCTGTAGTTTGAATCAGAAGGGCCTCCTGCTGTTTCTAAGCAAATACTTCTCTATTCTAATAAAAACTTTTGAGCACTCTGATATTCCAATTACACCACTTTGGGAATGAAGGACAATTCAAAAATACATAAGACTCTATTGTCTTTTTCTTGGAGAAATAACAATCCAGTCAAAATGACAGGCAGGTAGACAGCTAGACTATAGTATGATACATGCTATAATTGAGGTGTGTATAAAGAAACAAACATCTAGCTGACCAGAAAGTAAAAGATGGTGTATCAGGGATGGTTTTGAAATTCAGTCTTAGACAACATTCTGACAGAGAAAAGATCTCAAAAACAAAAAGCAAGATGTCAAAATTATTATTTTTTTGGTATTGGGGATTGAACTCAGGTCCTTGCACTTGTGAGGGAAGCGGTAGAACCGAGATAAATTCCCAGGGTGTCAAAATTATTTTTTAAAATGACAAGAAGCTATCTGACCAGAACATCCTTTGAGGCAGCAAAATGTCTCCTTAATGAAACTTTCTCTGCTTGGTCTCCTCCTCTTCCCAGTCTGGCTCCCACACCATCCTATTCTGTAATAATTTGTGTCAGAACATGAGCTCCATGAAGACAAATTCCTCTACAGTTTAGCACAGTGCTGAGCACTAAGGCCTTTAATAAATGTTGAAGGAACAAAGGAAAACAAGAGGGAAGGAAAGAAGTGAAGCAAAAAGGGAAAGGGCAGGCCATATGGAGGGCAGCTGTAGGAACTGAAGTTAATTTGGAACAAGATTGTAAACGAATTGATCACAACATAGACATGGGATCATTGAAGAAGTTTAAACTGTAAGTGATTAACTCAGATTTAGGAAAGCAGTATATATAGCGTAGCTTTCTGATTTTGAACACTGATTCCAGAAATAAACAGACAAATTAAAATCCCAACTCTGCCATTTACAAGCTGTGTGCTCTCGGGCAAAGTACATTAGCTTTTTTTTTGGTTTTTGTTGTTGTTGTTTTGTTTTGTATTTTTGGTACCAGAGATCAGACTTGGGTCCTTGCACTTATGTGAGGCAGGAGGCAGCACCACTGAGCTAAATCCCTGGCCCAAGTACATTAGCTTTTAAAGCCCCAGTTTCCCCGTTTGTCAAATGGGGATTAGATTCCTCCCTTGCTGATTATTTTGAGGATTAAATGAGTTTCTGCATGTAAACTATTTATCATGATGTCTGGCCCCTGATTGAGCACTCAATAACAGCCCCCCTTCTAAAGCTTCTGTCATTGTGTGAAGAATGGACCAAAATGGAGACAAACTCAACACCAATTTATTAACAAGAATTTACTAGACCTGGGCCCTGGTGTAACGAATTTACTAATGCAAATTTATTTAATCCTAGAAGATAGCTACTGTCATTATCCTCATTTTAGACCCGAGTAAACTCAGAAAGAGAAGGTAAGCATCTTGTACAAAGTCACTTACCTAGTAAGTGAGCCCCAGCAACCCAGCTCCAGGGTCCTTGCTCTTGAGCACTATTTTATGTGACTGTTGATGAAACAACTCGAACCAGTCATGGAAATGGACAGAAGATGTGACATCCAACCCCAGCTCTGATGACAAGGGAGATGCTGCTGCCATGAACTGAGATAAGGAATACCAGGAGAGAACAGGATTAGCACTTCACTGGATGTGTTAATATTTAGGAATCTATGGGATACAGAGTGTTCACTTGCATGTATAGATTTCTAGTTCTAGAAAAAAGGTTAAGATTGAAGTCTAGAGAGCCATTCACATTTAAATGATGATTCAGCCTGGTAAGACTGCTCTGGGCAAGACCATAGAGTGAAGGGAAAACAGGCCAAGGGAACATCCTGGTGTGAATCTAAAAAAGACAATGGACTAAGGAAGGAGGCTGAGATATGGCTAGAGTAGGTGCCAAGACAAATAGAAGACAGTAGGGTCAAGGAAACCATAAAGCTTCATAAGCGAGGCAGTGATCAATATGCGAAATGTCATAGAAAAGTTGCATAGGATGACTTCAAACCATTGGGTTTTGCAAGCAGAGATCAGTAATAACCTAAAAAACAGCTTTGATAGCACAGGGGGCTGCAGAAGTATAAGGAATAAAAGCATTTTGTCTTTGTAAGTCCTAAATTGTATTTATTTTATGTTCATGTGTAGAATAACCAGGAGAAATTAATCACATACTCAGCAATGTATCTGGAAATTCATAAGTGCTGAGTTTGAATACTTTATATTTATCACACATAATTGTAAGTTTTAGAACAGTTGTACTTACCACAAAGTAACTGTGTTAAAACTTACAATTATGTGTGATAAATATAAAGTCAAACTGTTGCTTGAAAAAAACAAGACTAGTGATCATGCTGAAAGGTGAGAAACTGACCTACAGAGAAATCAAATCTTAAGGTATAGCTCCTGTTGTAGTTGAATAAACTAGTGTCAAAGGAGCAAAGATCATATTGGAAGTACAGCCCAACTCTCAATTATCCGAGGCCCAGTCCAGTTTTAAAATAGGATAGCCTTATAGACTCAATAGGGTTACAATACATACGCAATAGGGGTACAATAGATGCAACAGTTGAACTGCAGAGGGTCCATGACTGCCTGAAAATTACAAAATGCAAAACTATGTGTTACTTGAATATTTTGCTGGGAGGGCTCCACATCATTTCTCAAAAATTTCCATAATTCAAAACTATTTAGAACAAAATCACCAGATCACTAACTCCCTCTTCTTCCTCCAAGAAAATTAACATAAAAAATTTATAAACGAAGCTTCAAACCATTCAATTCTGTAATTCCTAGAAATACTTTTTTGGTTTGGGTTTTTTGTTTGTTTGTTTTTTAGACAAGGTCTCTCTACATAAAGAGTCTGGCCTTGAATTTATGGCAATCCTCCTGCCTCAGTCTCCCAAGCACTGGGATTACAAGTGTGCACCACCACATTCAGCTTTGAATATCTTTAAGAATTTTTTTCTCTTTCTCAAGTTACAAAGGACCATTTATGGCTTAGGCATGTACTTCAATAGTGGAGTGCCTTCTTAGCATGTGTGAGGTCCTGGGTTGAACCTTGAGAAGAAAAAGAGAAAAGAAAGAAAGAAAAAAAAAGAGCATTTATGATATTCTTTCATTTGGTCCACAGATATTTGTTGAGCAGCTACAACTTAGTAGGCATGTTCAGAACATTGTGTTTAGATACAGCAGTATCTAAAAATTCCTAACCA